AACTGTAGCATCCCATAACTTTATGAGGGGAAAGGACTGCGGTGTGAGTCAAACCAGACCAACTGCTACACATGAAATTGCTATTCAGTGAACAAAGGGTACAGAATATGTCCTGCCTATGTCTAATCTGCGATAATGAAGTAATATTAAGTACAGTGCATTTTAAAAACAATGCCATCACATTACACTAGTGTTTTCACTTTATCCCACAGGTTTTCTTTCTGTCCAAAATGTAAGGAAGTTAATTCCCAGCCCTCCCATCTGGATAACTGTTAGTGCACAACTAAAGGAGGTTGGGTATTTCTATTGTAAAGGTGAAGTGTCAAGCACACCAAAAAATTGTTCTTTGCTTTTATTAATCACAATGTAATTGATCGCTAAACTACATCCACAGTTTCTTACTCAGCGCAGTTTTCTGACCGTCTTTGCATGAAAAACTAATTGTGGGGAGAAATGTCCCTTAGGAGGGTGGGGTTTTTTGGGGGGGGGGGGAATTAGCATTTGCAGTATAACTAACAGCAAACCTGCTCCAAAAGTTACAGTAATAAAGAATGGTTATCTGTACCCGACCACAAATCCCATCCTGTAGGGGATTTACTGTTGGGGATACTCCGCAGAAATACCCACACGTTATCAGCTCTTTAAAAAGTCCCTTTTGATCCTTTTGCCCTCTTTCTCAACAACAGGCGCGTAAACTTTGAATACCTAAGGTGCTTTAAAAACACTTTTCAAAATCTCAGATGATGACTTTCAAAAGGGATTCTCATCCTGACTGGGAAAGTTTCCCTTCTATCGGGCTTTTTTTAATCCTCCTATTGCGCCTTGAAACTGTTAAATGAACAGCTAGTTGTATCGTTTTAATTGCAAAAGGAGTTATTTGGCCAGCGTTTGCTTAGCCCTGGGTGGGGGAGATCGAGGTAAGCGTTAGAGGTAGGATTTGAGCCACAAAACAGAACTTTCTCCATAGCAACAAAACTTCAAATCTATTCTTTTTCTTATAATTACTCTCTGGATTTTGAGACGTTTGTAAGCAATTGAAGCTATAAACATGTCCCATAAAGCACATGAAATTCCTTTGGGGGATTGCAGGGCCCAATTATTGTCCAATACATTTCAGTGAAAGCTATCAAGCACATGGGGACATTTCACAAGGTGTGATTTTGTAAGGATTGTTTACTCTCTGCGATCTTTTCAAAAAAACAGATCTTTCCCCAGTTGTTGAGACACAACATGATTTGTCAAGGGCCACACATTCAGGTACAGTAGTGCAATTTTGACACGCACACACGTACTTCTAGGCGAATTTGTAGGAGAAGCTGGTAACTTTGTGAAAATAGCTATTTTATTCCGGACTGGGTTGATGGTTCTGTAAGAGGCAATGAAATGTTTAACAAGATATTGCTACGACGAAGCTACAAGCATCTCGAGAATGGAAGAAACAGTGGGAAAAATAAAGAAAATTCTGTACATTGGGGGGTTATTACAAAATATTTAAACTTGATCTTTGGCTTTCCTTTCATTTAGGTTCAGTGTCAAATCCATGTAGCCGCAAGTGAGGACACACTGATTAAGTCTTTAGTGCGGCCAGAGAGGAGTAAACTCGAATCTCATGTTAATATTAGTTTGATCAGAGAGTTATTCTTCTGGTATCAATGAAATGCCGACTATTTCCAAAGCATTTCAAAGCTCTAGGGAGTTACAGTATTCCCTCGGCTGCAATGAAACTGTCTTAATCTTTATAAAATATGCCTCGCTATCATTAAACTTCTGGGTATATCCAGACATAAATGGGAGATTCTGGCTTTCTTGAGAGTTTTATAGCAGACGGAATACACAACTTTATGCGCTACTCGGCGACCTGTTTACTGGAAGGGTTTTCTAATCCCCCCTCCCAGGCTTGAAATTTAGGACCCTGGGCTTTAGAAATTGATCATTAAGTGAAGATCTAGCTAGTTTCATACTCCAGTGCACCTAAAAAAAAAAATCTGCGTTCACGTTTTCAGTATAAATTGTGTAATCTCTGAGGCCATTATCATTTAAAGTGTTTCTTATTTTAGTGCTTTACAGGGTACAGCTTAATATTTGGGGCAAGCTGCCTGGCAGGGACGCTGTGCTCACAGCCAAACTTCAGAGAAATAAACTTGTCGAAAGCCCGATCATGCTTTCCTGAAATGGGCATAATTCTCTTCAGCCTCTCTGCTTACCACTCTTGCAAATTGAAGCACCGCCCCGCAGTCTAGGAAAGTTCACTTGCAGTTTATGCTTCTTGGGCATAACGGCGAAGTTGTTTGATTTGTTAGGGCGTTTCGTCTCCTTCCCTTCTTCGCCTCAGCTCCCGGCTGCTTGCTACCGACATAATGAAAGAGCTGAAAGTCTAGTCAGTGACATAGGGCTGTGTCACAATTAAACCAGGTAACGAGACACTGGGCAGATGTGTTTTCATTGCACCGTAAGATAAATGCAGTGTTAAATGCCTGACAACTTCCCAGAAGCAATCAGCAAAAGTTTACGAGTGCATAAACCTCAAAGACCATTCCTCGGGTATTTTTTATAAGCCCCGCATTTAAAGCTTCTATAAATTCTTCTGCCTGCTTCCAAACCAAAGTTACTGGTGACTATTAAACAGCCACCTTCTTCAGGGAGCCCAGAGGAGTTTGATCCAGGATGGCTCATACCAAATGCAACTGGAAGAAGGTCGGGGCTTTGTGGTGGGAAGGCATTAAATATACGTTGAAGCTTGATAGACCGTTTGAACACTTAAGTGTGGCAGATCAGGAATGAATGAGTAGAAAGGTGGTTGATACATATCAGAGGTAGAGACACAGCAGGCAGACAGAGAAAGAAAATAAAACAAAGGAAGATTATAGTTAGATAGATGATATTGTGTTTAATCAGATAAGCACTGACACCCCGGATGGTGGCAGAAAGTGGATAACAGCTATGGCCCACTCGGAAATTACAAAACTAGGTTTATTAAATATCATTGTTGATAACGTGACCTTATACTAGTTGCACCTGTCCATTATGGCGTGTTGCACCTGTCCAAAGCGTGACAAAGCATTAATCACTCCGATAACCATCCCCTAGTTCTGTGATCAGGACTCGGATGACGATGAAATGTCTTTAACACTGTAGCAACATCAGAGCCATTCAATCTTCCAGCACCCAAACTGCTTACAGAGCAGGTGAATACACCATCCGAAAAGTTTCAAGCAAAAGAGAAAGGCAGGATTAATGAAGCCATATATCAGCCAGAGAGATTTCGCAGAAAGCCTCTCTTCGACCAAACGAACTGGGAGCAGTAAAATGTTCTCCTTAAACCATCAAATTACAATAATAGTATTCGTCATCCTTAAGTGATCAAATGAGTTTTACAAGTTGATATTAAACAGATAAAAACCTATTGTAATTATCAAGCTCTTTGTTTATGATCCCAGTGAAAATGAAGTTGCTAATTGGAAAACAGTAAACCTAAAATGCCTTTGAATTAATAGACAAGGTGGGTGAGGCAATATCTTTTACTGGAACAACTTCTGTTGGTGAGAGAGAGAAGCTTTCGAGTTTACACTGAGCTCTTCCTCAGGTCTGGAAAATAATGGATCATTTTGGATTAATGATAGAGATCAACAGGAGTATCTATAAGAAAGAAACTGTAGATTTGAATGTGCACTTTGGGTTTCAATCAGGGACATTTGCACAAGCCAAATGCTAGACTTGGGTGAGGATGGGGGTGGGGTGGAGGCTGAATGGGGTGGGGGGCTGGGTTTGTTCATTTTAAATATAAAGACACAAGGTGACTGAAGGCTGTATTGTAGCCATGTCCTTGCTAGATGAAATCTCAGTCAATTACTTTGAAAATCTGCAGCTTGGCTTCTTTTTATTCTTTACAGGTGAAAATTCAAACGTCTCTGTTGTTGTAGCCTGGTCCTTTCTTTCCTGAAACAAGGCACCCAACTGTTCTGATATTACCATTCAAAACCAGGTTCTGTGGCGAACCTCATTTGTGAATCTATTACAGAGATTAATAGATTATTTCTCCTTTTTCAACTAATTCTCAGTGGGCAAATTTAACCATATGGTAAGGAGAGAATTAGAATTTCATCACATTAGAGCAAAATGTAATGAAAAGAGTCCAACACCTGGGGCCATCTCGGAAAGACACAATTAAAAGGTTTTTAATGAAACCAGAGAAACCAAAAATTTCAGAGCCTTCAGTAATTCTGCCACACCGAATGATGCACTGGAGGTGTTGGGAAATATTGTTTTTACTGATGTCATAAGAATGAAAACCTGCCTCTAAATACCATGTGCTTTCAATGCGATTACAATAAAAGGAGAAAGGACTGCTTGTCTCTATTATTAGAGGATCAGCAGGACACATTTTAGACAAGTACTTGTGTTTACACTTCAGTGTGAGAACCTGACTATAAGGAAAGTGGGCCTTAAGGTGAAGCGTTTTAGCTAAAGCCTGGGAAATATAAATACATGGCGGATAATATTAATGAATTACATGATCTCAAGTTGATCTGATACATCAGATGCACAAACTACCACCCATTTCTGAGTTAGGCAGGACCGTCCTTGTAAAGTATCCTTATTATAAGGAAGAAATCGCTAGACAAAAAGTTGGTCATTCATTACTATTATTATTTGCCCCCAAATTAGTTTATTTTAAAGCTGATGCTTTTATTTGTATTGAAATGTGGGGGGTAATTACTATGAAGTAGCAAATCTGCGAGTGGAAAACTGTAAAGTTGGGGTGGGGGGGGAGAAAAGCAGCACCTTGCAGTTTGTTCTCAATTTGTTTTGAAAGGGAGAAAAACGATGGTCTTGTCCGAGGCCAAGGTGAACTTTTATGGCGAGTCAGCAAGGAGCAGCCTAGCTTTTGCTATTCCACGCGATCCCTTTCCACAGGGAGAGCTGAGTTCATGTAAACGGGGGTGGAGTGACTCTCTTGCTAAGTTAGCAGAAGTCTGCTCGCAGCACTTGGAGGAAAGCGCTCAAGTGGGCACCTCCGCAGTGCAGCTCTGTAATTTGCTGAAGGAGGCGAAGAACATCCCGAGCTCTAAGCAGGGCTTTTAGTGTGCTCATTGATGAGTGAAAGTCGCCACACATGTCAAGCTAAAGGCAGTTGTTGGGTTCCTAACAGGACACAACGTCTTGCAAACATATGCGTGAAGCTGTGTCTACAGATGGCAGGGAGAATAATGGAGCAGGCGCCTTTTATAAAGCTCTAGCTGCTGCCTGTCTTCAGACCTGGGAAATGAAACTCTTCAGACTCAGGGCCAGCTAGCGCCTGGGCTTGTTTGTTACCGCTTTAATCCTATTAATTAAAACGTTAACCTGATTGGGTAGAGAGCTCTGTCCCAACAGGCGAGTCTTCTTCATAATAACCTACTCGCCGAGCTAATGATGTAAAAGACTCCCCCGTCTGCGGCGGCTGCTGGGGCCGGAAATCTCTTGAAGGTGAAGCCAAGCAAGATAAACGGCGGACGAGGGGGCTGCTCGCAGCTCACAATGCCCGAGCGCATCCCCTGGTGAGAGCTCGCGGCCAGCAGAGAAGGCGACGCGGAGGAGCGCGAGGAGCCGGAGCAGGGCAGGTGCCGGCGGAGGAGCCCGGCGGGCAGCATGGAGCGGGCGCTGAGCCTAGCCGCGGACGAGGACTTGTTCCACAAGAGTCTCAGCGCCTCGGCCACGAGGATGGAGGCCGCCTTCCGCGCGCCCCCGGGGCTCGACCTGAGCCACCCGCGCGAGCGCCAGCCCTCGCCCCTCAGCTGCTTCGAGCCGGGCGAGGCGGAGGGGCTGCTGCAGCCCGGGGCGGCGCTGGGGGCCGGCGACCCCCTCGCGCTGCCGGCCGGCTCGGTGTGCGGCAAGTACGGCGAGAGCACCAGCCGCAGCTCGGTGGCGGAGAGCAGCGGCGGCGAGCAGAGCCCCGACGACGACAGCGACGGGCGCTGCGAGCTGGTGCTGCGCGGGGGAGACCCGCGGGCCGCCTCGCCCGGGGCGGGGGGCGCCGGGGGGGGCCTGAAGGCGGCCGAGGGCGGCTGCTCCAACAGCCATGGCCTGGGCGGGAGCAAGAAGTCGAAGGAGCAGAAGGCGCTGCGGCTCAACATCAACGCCCGCGAGCGGCGGCGGATGCACGACCTGAACGACGCGCTGGACGAGCTGCGGGCGGTGATCCCCTACGCGCACAGCCCCTCGGTGCGGAAGCTCTCCAAGATCGCCACGCTGCTGCTGGCCAAGAACTACATCCTCATGCAGGCGCAGGCTCTGGAGGAGATGCGGCGCCTGGTGGCTTATCTCAACCAGGGCCAGGCCATCTCGGCCGCCTCCCTGCCCAGCTCGGCGGCGGCAGCGGCGGCCGCGGCCGCCGCCTTGCACCCAGCCCTCGGTGCCTACGAGCAGGCGGCCGGCTACCCCTTCAGCGCCGGCCTGCCCCCTGCCAGCTCCTGCCCGGAGAAATGTGCCATTTTCAACAGCGTCTCCTCCAGCCTCTGCAAACAGTGCACGGAGAAGCCTTAAAGCCCCCGCCAGGCGCTTCAACCCGGGCAGGGCAAGGAGCTGGCAGGGAGGGACTCGGGGCAAGGACTTAGGCTAAATCCTCCGTTTCTCGTGGTTATTAGGCTTATGGGCTTTTTCCCCCCTTTTTGGAAAGGGCCGCGGGTGGGCTTGGGGGCTTTCCTCGTGGAAGTGGTGACTTGATCGCAACCAAGACCTCAGCGAAGTAAAAAATCGCAATTGTGTGCGCGCGTGTGTGTGTGTGTGTGTGTGGACACAAAGAGAGGCTGAGAAATAGCAGCTGGGGGAGGAAAAAGGAAGCCCCCCCTCCCCGACTGATGTATTTAAATCCCGCTTACTGGGACTCGAGAACTCTGCCCCAGCGAGCTGAGGCCCGGGGGTGGCTGGCTGGGGTGCGGGTGGCGGGGGCTCCAGCTGCATGGTCACTGAGACAAATCAGAAGGGGCACTTGCAACCAATTCTTTTGATGCTGAGCCAGGCGCCAAACAAACTTGAAATGTAGACTTCTTATTTAAACGAAACCAAGAGACTGAACCATTGCTATGAAAGACTGACTTGTATTTTTTATTGTCTCTGAACTTTGATCCTGTGAAAATGCGCGAAGTTTTGGCGAGAGTGATTTAAAGAGAGAGAGAAACTAACACCCTACTCCGTGTGGCTGAAAGTATTGCATTTTTAAAACAAATATTTATGTGCACCTTGTTTCTTTCCACGTTGCAATGATGTATAAACAAGACATGATATTTATTTGTTCTTCTTTCAAGGACCCTTCCACGCCAACAATATTTATCATGTGTTAAGGTCACGGGTCTTATGTGCAGTTTTTTTTAATTAGCTTCTTAAAATTAA